GTGAGGACACGTAGAGATTGCCAGACGCAAAACACCTCCATGGAAACCTGCAGGATTTCTCCAACCAATAGAACCCCCTAAATCTCCATTTGAACAAGTAGGAATGGATCTACTTGGTCCATTTCCTACGTCATCAATGGGCAACCGATGGATAGTAGTGGCGACAAACTACTTGACCCGGTATGCCGAGACAGCCTCTCTCACCAGAGGCACGGCTATAGAAGTCGCTGAATTTTTCGTCGCTCACATTGTACTACAGCATGGTGCCCCAAAGGTGGTTATCAAGGATCGAGAAACTGCATTCACAGCCGATCTGATGCAGTCCATTATGAAACTTACCCACACATGTCATAGGAAAACAACGGCTTACCACCCCCAAACGAATGGGCTAACCGAGCGACTCAACAGAACTCTATCCGATATGTTGTCCATTTTCGTTGACTTGGAGCGCCGTACGTGGGACAAGATACTGCCATACGCCACTCTCACTTATAAATACTGCTGTGCAGGAGACTACTAAAGTGATGCCATTCCAGCTAGTCTATGGTCGAATAGTTACCACACCACTAGATGCAATGCTGCCTGTAAGCGACAATACAGAGCACAAGCCTGACATCAGCGAGTTCATTCAGCAAGCCAAAGAAGCACGGCAGTTGGCGCGACATCACATAAAACAACAACGCGTGGGTGCAAACCGTTACAACCTTTGGCGGAGAGGAGTCGACTACACACCAGGCGACCGAGTTTAGATTTGGACTCCCGTGCGGACACCTGGCCTCTCCGAAAAGCTTCTGCGCCGCTATTTTGGCTCTTACCGAGTCGTTCGTCGCGTCAGCTCCTTGAACTACGAGAAGTCACCGGAAGGACAAGTGAACTCATCAAGATGCCGAAGGAGCACAAAAATTATGCATGTAGTCAGAATGAAGCCGTACTATGACAGGCAATGAATATCGAACTATACACACCCAATCATAAAGAATATTTATTTCTCCAATGGAAACCACGCATTCAGACCATCTCAGCAACACTGCTCTTACCCATCGGGACGATGCGTTCTTGGACAAAGGATAATGACGCAAGGCAAACGCAGTATTCAAACTACGCGCGCTTGTTCGTGCGCCCCCCAAGAGACCAGCGGCCTGATGATAAGACAAGAAAAGGCCGTGAGGGCGCGCGCCTCCTACGAAAAAGAAATGGGACACTGCTCGAGGGCTTCTCGGAGATTGATTCCTTTTGCTGATCGCCTGTTAGAAACGCTGCTACATTTTCCTTTACTTTTCAGGATCAGGATGCAGCCCACTGCATCCTGATCGGAACGGGGGATGATCACCAACTTTACTGACTACATCTCAGGTGAGGCATTCAAATTTTACCTCACCCACATCTTCGTGAACGATGAGTCTTGGAAAAAGATCAAAGAAAAAATGATCACCCGTTTCAAAGAATACAATCAATGCTTTTCAACTCACCCATCACAGTCACATGAAGTCTCCCCGCAGTAAGCATAGTAAGCATACTTCCAAACAAGTCATATTTGCAAGATGTTTCAGCGTGCAAACAAAGGATAAAAGGACAGGGTAGACAGAAAGACTGACTATGACTACGCAAATATGACTACGCACCAACTAGCCCAAGCTTCCACTCTTGTGAGTTCCAAACAAGACCTCAGAGTAACTATTCCACCACTGTAACATCACATGACTAGTCCGAATACACGTCACGCATTCTAACACCGACTAGGAACTTGCACGTCGCAGCAGACAAGGTAAAGCATCGGTATACCAAAAGGAATCTAGACCATTTTATCAAAAGACCGAACCTAGAGCCAGCTTCACCATGGGCAATGAAATAAGCATTTTTAACGCGTTCACTGCACTACACTTCAGTTGTTACTAAACCACTCGTATCACTTCATGCTTCGTGTCACACACAAGGCCCAGACAGCTTCAGATGTGTGACGGCATTTATGCATGATGAGCTAGTGAATTCTCACAATACAAGCCCACACCCTCACGTTCCGGAAAAAAGTCTTTTGACGGACGTTCTCAGCTTAATTACGCTGCAAAAAGAAAAACATGCGCCATCAGAACCATTTCATGTCATGTCTGCTGTGCTCTGATCATCACCTGATAACACACATGTGAGTCGAAGCACTGTAGAAGTTTCGAATCCACCAACGCCGGCGCAATGTGAACTGACAGAAGCATTCACAACGAATAATGACTCACAACTATCTAAAGAGCTTTTTCATCAGTCTGCCATGCTGCTTTCATCTCAAAAAAGGTCCTGCAGCAGAGTATCGACTGCCAACTATCTACTGAACGTATCACCGTGCAAAAAAAAAGCAGCCTCATGTTCCTGAATGGCCCATCTGACCAACTTTCGCAACAAAACGAGCGATTTGAACAAAGGCAACTCTACGAACCCCAGGCACTACAATGAGCACTCAAACAAAAACAGCGACCAAGTGAAACCTTTTCACGAGTACCTTTGTGGCTTAAAGGTCATCAGAGACAACACCAATTAAAGAAGCAAAGGTAAAGTCAATGCCTAAACCATCTTTGCAGAAAGCAACATCGATAAAGTTTTCTGCACCAGTTCTCAAGGCCGTCCGTGTCTACGATCCAACAATCTGAGAGGACGCCACAGAAAGTTACAAACTAAAGAGACATGAAGCTAGCAAGTGTACAATGCAGGAAAATAGACATCGTCCCATCAGCCTTGCTTCTCACGCACACAGACTAGAAGCAAAGCGTTTGTTGCCATGAATATGCAGGATTCAATGCCAAAGACACCCATCTATCCAATGCTGCACGGATTCCCAGTCTTGCTTATTCCTCACAAGACGTCAAGTCGTGTTATCATCACTGCAGATGTGCAGGGCGAGGTTACGCTACCCAGGGCGCAACAGCCAGCCTCGTCTACCAGACCTCCCTTAGATATGACCAAACTGCTGTCCTCTACTATAAATGTATTGTACGAGTCAAGGAACTCCCTTCTGAAATCGAACTACTGCGCATTTTGACGTTCTTCCCTTTGACACTATGCTTTTTTATGCTTTGTTATATGTAACTCGCACATTTTTTCGGGAAGGGGGGAGGGGGAATCCTGTGATGCAAGAAGGCAGGAATAGTTAAGAGAAGAGGATGAAAAAGAACTGCTTTGGAATAAACATGGCGTATGAGCCAGACCACATCTAGTCATCATAGCATCACACCTTGAGCATGGAAACTGATGATGACACTGCTTGTGTTCTTGCGAGGATTGAACACGGTGTGAAGGCTTTGGAGCACCAGCTGCATGATTTTCGCACGTGTCGTGCTCTTTGTCTTTATTGGTACACATGTGGCACCACCTGTCTGCGTGTTTGTTGGCAAAAGCTGACGTGGTGATTTCTGCGTTCTATGTACAGAGTGTGGTATTGCGCCTTTTTTTGTCGTTGTATGTCGTGTTGCCTGAGTATTGACCTTTGCTGGAGAAAACTTACTCGGCTTCCCTAACAAAAAATGCACCGGTTTTGATGCTTTCCTTGCCACGAGCAAGACGTCTTGAATATGTCGTCACTTCACTTGACTCACTTGCAAATCTCTTTCCTTGAGCTGTGGACAGTCTTTCAATGACTGTGGTTGTCCTTGTCGGATAACATGTCGCTTAGCCTGGTTGATTTGCTTGTGCTGAACTTGCTGGTGTTGCGAAAAAACGCTGAGGTGGCAGCCCTTCTGAAAGAGGACAATGTTTTTCTTGGCAACTTGGTGTGGTGTCCAGTAGGCAGATAGTAGTGTGTGGACTGTTGTGGTGCCGTGCATTTCGGGTAATGAAGGTTGTGTGCTAGAATTGACTGGAAGATCTTCAGAGGTTCTTGCGACGCTCTTAATGAATGCTTTAGGCTCTCGGCAATGCGTGAGATTTTACTCTTCCGAGCCTCCTGTGTTGTTTGGACTCTCAGGTGGCTAGACATTGGACCGCGACACCGTGAGAGCCGTGGTTTGGTCGGATTTCACTGGGGAGTGACTCTCTTTTTGCGCAACTATGGAGATCAGTGGTTCTGATGCATGAATATGAACAGTAGGCCCTGGGCTTAGCTGAGTATCTTCGGAGTTCCTCAGCTATATATCAACCGTAGCGAGTGTGTGAGGCGTGAGATGGGCGTTGTGAGCAACTGAAGGGCCAAGTGACGGAAAACCAGGTGGTGGGCCAAGTGCATGAGACGGTGAGTACAGTGCACTGGATGGTTCGGTGCACTGTACAGTGGATGCACTGGATGTTTCAGTGCAGTAATGACGTAAAGGTTGATTTTCGTGCCATAGCAAAATGCGGTGGAATATTAACTCTTCGCGGAACCAGATCTTGATGTCTTTCTGTGAGCGAATGTTTTAATCGTTCTTGACGGAATAGGAATGGCCGACTCATTTTGGGTTTTCCACTGAGTGACGACTACTGGTGGTTGTGACAACTGCGACCGATTGCCTTCAGATGGCGGGTTGTAAGCGAACCTTCATCATAATCATTAAATCGAATGCTCATTTCTTCTTTAATCTTTTCCCAAGATTCGTTGTTTTCCGAGATATGTGCCAGGAAGAACTTAAATGCCTCACCGGAAACGTAGTCGCTGAAGTTAGTGACCATCTCCCGTTCCGACCATGATGCAGCGGTTGCGTGGAGCTCGGAACAGGTAGAACCAGTCCTGCACGGGTACATCGTCCGCTGCTACGGTATAGTTGGGATTGGGAAGGTCAGTCAATGGTTCCGTCAAGACGTTTGTCACGGTGGCGAGTGGAGATGCGCTTCTGTGGTCCACGTTCGGTCACTGCGCTGAACAGATTTTACCGGCGGCCCACGCAGGGTTTTCATCTCTCGATAATATGGGGATGAAACGCAAACGCGGGAACGCGAAAATTCTGCACACAGTGGGTGAGGCATACACACAGCACGCAAGCCAAAGAGGTTTCAGCACTAGTTTCACTACAGTGGCGTTTGATGCGCTACTGCAGATGCATTACCTATCTTTGTTGAGTTTAGGTCGAGGGTTTTGCACGACGCGTTTCTTCGTGTAAGGAGTAACTTTTTCTCCTGCTTCCTCCTGTTCAAAGCAATTGCCTTCAGCTGTTGCGGATTCCTGAAAGAAAGATATGAAGTTGTTACGATGTATTCGCCGTCTCTGCAGCAGGCTGACCTCTGGAGCTCCAACGTCTTCGTTCTCAACATCGTCCAAGGGATAGTCTTCCATTATGTCTTCCATAGCTTTTTTGCTTTCACTACCTAGGCCAAACAATAAGAACAGAGAATGCGTAGATTCAATGAACACAACACGAACACAACCGCAAAAACGTCACCAAGATACGTGGGTACACCTGGTGGGTAACATCGCTTTCCCGCGTTTTCTTGGCTCTGGTGTCACTCGAGTGTAGTAATCCATGCCTGGGCTCGCCACTAGAAGAGTGCGCTGAGTAGTCGGCGCGCTGCCGCCAACGCCAACCAATCAGCGCGCCGCCGCCGCCGTCGCGTTTTTGTGTGTGTGTGTGTGTGTGTGTGTGTGTGTGTGTGTGTGTGTGTGTGTGTGTTTAAATAAGATTTTTTTTTCCCGTTTACCTACATTTACTTTGCACCTTCTGTCACTAGTCTGGCCTTAAATCTGTCCACTTCGCAAACGCATGAAAATTTGTTCACCTGCCATTTCAAGTTAAATAAGTGAACTATATAAAAAAAAAAACTTGTCGACTGCTCCTAATGATGTTGGATTAGAATTTTAAGATACTTTTGAGTTCACTATATTTCAGCGAATCCCAGTCAGTGACAGCGCCAATGGTGGTGTTTGGCGAGGACTGTCGACATATTCTAGCTGACGAGAATTTGTAAGAAGTGAGGCGGGCTTTGAACAATGATGAAAGGTGTGGAAAGTTGGTACTGGAATATTCATAACTATGACTGTCGAAAAACAAAGGCAGTTCAATGCGAAGGGTGGGGGCCAGAACTGGGAACGGGCAAGGTAGAAGCGGAGGTGTATGGAATATATTGTTATAACTGAAGAAGGGCTAGCTGTTTAGGGCACATTTACATTAAAAAAAAAAAATCGGTTAAGAAATGGGACCACATGCGTGGCCTTTAATGAAGAAAGAAAGGTAGAATGACAATTATTATAGGAAAAAATTAATGCTCTATCAAACAGAAGCGATCCCCATTATATGGGCATGTTGAGCAAGATCGACAATATTGGACGAAATGCTGATCACCATAAATTACGTTTGTGTGAACTGTGAAGTAACGCACAAAAGATGAATGCGAACAAAACACTGAAGCGTTGGCTTGTAGTTTGAACGCGCTTTGTCCTGCACACCAGGCGATGCTGCACGCCGCGCTATCAGATCAAGTAATCTGTCTTTCATTCACCAGTTTTTATCTCGGACTTGATTCAACTAACTATATAGATGCCGATTTGTCACAACCGTGTTTCAAAAAGGACACCACATATGTAGCTTGCTCGGCGAGTTGGTTTATAATATTTTTGGAAGAACAAACTAAGGAGCTCAACCTGACAGCACATCAAGCGAAATGTTTATGGCGGAATGTCCACAAACCCACGTACCAGAAGCGCATTCATGAAAAATAGGCTGAGGTGCTCCATAGCTGCACACCTAACACTACAAAAACAAGAAGCATGTCAAAATGGTGTGAACAGCACACTTCGATGATCAACGCCACGTGCACCCGCTATCTAGAAACGCGAATCCCTTATCTAGCTGTAAAGACAACTGAAGGACCACTAGCTTATACATGCGTTGCACTTTGTCCTTTTTTGTTTTTTTTTTAAGGTTTCAAAATCTTCGCGTTCAATCTATTTCTTTCTTTGCCAATGACACTGATATATTGGGGACGCAGAGACTAGCGGAGAGGTCTGTTTTGTGCCTGAAGGATGTTCACACTGCCTAAAGGTGTCACTAGGCCTCGACCCGTCTGATCTCTGTAGACATGGCTGCATGAGAAAGAAATTTTATTTTGCCCCGCCACGGTGATCTAGTGGCTAAGGTACTCGGCTGCTGACCCGCAAGTTGCGGGATCGAATCCCGGCTGTGGCGGCTGCATTTCCCATGGAGGCGGAAGTGCTGTAGGCCCGTGTGCTCAGATTTGGGTGCACGTTAAAGAACCCCAGGTGGTCGAAATTTCCGGAGCCCTCCATTACGGCGTCTCTCATAATTATATGGAGGTTTTGGGACGTTAAACCCACATATCACCAAATAAATTTCTTTCAAATCATTGTATGTCATTGGCAAAGGAAAAAAAAAAGATTGAACGCGAAACTCGTCGTGGTGTTAACGTGTCTGTACTACATACCCTCATGGGAGGCTTAGGCCCGGCCACCTAAACGTGCTGGTTTCTTATAATAAAGTTTATTCCTACTCCTCCTCCGAAACTCGTGAAGCCTTCGAAATAAAAACAGAGCGAAGTGTCATGTGTGAGTGATCCCACAGCTTTCCTCACAGATAAACTTGTCGTTGATATTTTGGTGTTCGGATATCGGCTGCTTCATACCACTACCTTGAAACATTTGTTGAAAAAAAAAAATGTACGGTTAATTGTGCAACTGGGGGCAGATAGCCTTTTTAACCATGTGCTTCTGGTTAGTTTTTTTAGGGGCTTTCTTTAATAACATTTAGTTTTAAGTCCAGCACTTGTCTTTTCTCGTTCCTACGCTGCATTTGTGTTTTTTTGTTGATTTCTTCTTGCGTAGATCGGTAGATGTCATCCCTATTATCATCAGTGTGGGCATCGCAACCACCCTTCCTCATTCTCCCATATTTCACCATCGTGAACGCACACAAAAGGTCTTCATTAACGCGTGACGTGAACGAGGGATGTGTTCCGATTATAAGTCGGCAAACTCACTGATGAGTCTATTAGAGGAATTGAAAGACTCAGATTGAGGTGTGAGTCAGAGTCTGAGTGAGTCCGGCTCAGTTATAAATAGGTAAGCCTCAGTCTGAGTGAGCCCGGCTGAGTTTTACCATGGTGAGTCTGAATTCGAGCGAGTTCCTATATAGTTCAATTCTGCAAAATTTTGGTTAGTCTGGGTTCTTGTGAGTCCTGTGCGGAAAAAAAAACTTATTTAATGAGAGCGTCTTTCAATTTTGCTGACCTATGTTTACAAATATTTAGTCCCATTTTATGGCGTGCTTTGTTATCGTGTAAGTGCCGGCTTGTAAGGCCACAGAATTGATTTTCCAAAGTGTAAATCTGTCTAGTTCCCCACACCCTTGGAACTCGCTCCAATGAATGTCCTTGATAAAAACCACTTGCTCATACTTTCGAATAAAAAGTGATAACCTTAACTTAAAGGCACGGAATGAAATGGCCCCATACAATGGACCACTGAAATTAGATATCAACATAAAAATGCTAGCATGACTAAGAAGATAATGTACACTGCCTATTTCCAAGGCGCACAGCTATTTGTAAATTTGTTTGCAGTGTCACGGAGTTGCGTCGTGTCATAGTGATTTTATGCATCGCACTGACGTCAACTTTAATGCTAATAGACAATGCGTTTATAGAGTACACCGTTCGCAAACTATGGCAAAGTTAAATGCATGCTACAAAACTCTTGAGATCTTTTCTCAGAGCAGAACGCATATCGGATTGAGATAATAACGAGCGAGAAAACTTAATAATTATTCGTAACTTCATCATTGTGTATGTAGTGTAATTCACATTTGTGGAGCGCCCCTGCACTCTCTCCTGCATTGATATGCGTGTTCTCCGACGCCACTACAGTTTTGCATGTATAAATGTGGCGATCGGAAAATTACGGAGCGCAAAACAAAATATTCTTAAAAACGAGAGAGATGGGACGGGCGCTTGTGAATTCCCTTTCAATGTATTGTTTTGCGCTAAAACATTTTACATCTCGACGAATTTCAAGTTTTGTAAATGTAGGGACAACAAATGCTATCTGCTTTTATATCATTTCCTGCCATGTGATACGTCGAGAGCTTTCCGAGTTGATTCCAAGGAGCAAGGGGGCAGGATTTAACACAGGGCTCCTGTCATGCGCGACGCTTGGTCACTGGCAAAAACAAATTATTTAAAGCTGTAATGCGGCCAAAAATTTTGGCGGCCCCCTGAGAACTAGAGGAGCTTCTAAACATTTTGCCAGCACGTCTGCAGTTCAGGACTCAGCATAGCAGCACCCGTTTTTTTTTATATTTTTCTTTTTTTACTCAAACTCCTTTCCATTCACAGTCAGGTTTGACACGTTGTAGCAATTTCGGTGGTTCCTCACCCGTCATTGTGTTCTCCCAGTCCATTCTGCGAAAATCTTGACGACCCGAGCCTTTCCCAGGCTCAAGTTATTCATACCTGAGCTTCTGCATGCGTTCTTTGTACGCCCCAAGGAATGCAGACAGGCTATAGAAAACGCAGCAACGAGCTCCACTCTTCGGGTTTAGGGCGTGCAGCACAGATATCTGTATTATTTCAAAAGTGAGTATTCGGCAGAAGTCTGCTCCGTTGGGATAACAAACAATGGGGAAAAAAAAACTCCAGCCAATATTTATATTAAGAAACCCGATGCTTTGAAGCCTGATCGGTTTTTTTTTTTTTTCTTCAGGGGTGAGAAGGCCCGAGATGTTTGCCACAACTCGTTGCAAGCTCTGAAAGAAGAGGGAGGGCAGACTCCCAGTGGGGAGTCTGCAGTGGTGTGCTTGTTGTCTCCCACTGTCTGCTGACTGTGCGAGGGTTCAAAGTGGAGCCGCCGGCGAATGTTTCTTTCTGTTTAGAAGATCACCGCGCTGTCGGGACTGGTATGGTGGCGACCCGGCTTACAATGTTCGGCCTCTGCCCTCCGTTCACTGTTCATTTGACGGAAGTCATTCCTGTGTGTGCTGCCACATTTTTTCAAGCTGTAGGCCATCGACCCCTATCGATATGTCACCTGCATCCCCATACTTCCAAGTCTTACGACTCGGGTTGCCCTGCCATCGACCCCTATCCACTTACTCTCTACCAGCCATGGCCGTCAGATTCTTCCAAACCTTCTCCTAAATACTTCAAATCTCTCTTCTTCATTCCCCCCTCCCCCAACGTGCTAAGCGGGTGGTGGTGGTAGTGGTTAGAAGATGAGAAAAGGCACCTAATTTCTGCTACCCGGTCGGGAGCATGCCGTAGTGCCTTGCTAAGCCGTGCTCCTGCAAGGGCAGCAGAAGATAGTGCCTTTTTCCTTTCCTTCAACCACACACATTCATTCACATTTTTTCATGGAGGTTCTTGGCTTAGCCGGCGCATGCAATCCTGCACCCGACGCCTTGCGCTCTTCCTGTAGGTGCAAGGTCTTTAGACCAGCGGATGAAACTGCCGATGGGGTGGGAACGCTTGTGGCAACATCGACTCCTGCCTTTTTAACTTCTT